TAAAGGGCTCACATTGCTGCTTAACCATTTGCACAGTGAGCTTCTAGGCAAACTCATTCACTAGGCACCAGTTTCTGTGTACAACATGAGCTATGGCTTCTTGGTGCAAAGAAGCTTTAAATAAATTGCTGCAAGACATTTTTGTTAAATTATAATCATGCAGTTCATGTTTACAAAACTGTCTACACATATTTTTAGAGTAGTAAAATAGTTGTCAGTGTAGTGTTAGCACTAAAACAGCACATACAACATTCCCATGCTGTTGTATTCTTTTATCATGCTCATACAATGAATTATGCACCAGCTCTGCTCTAATGAACCAAAATTTCACTACGAATGCTGCTGTAAACATCCTCTTGGTGGATATAGAATGGAGTGATAGATTCATGACATCCTACACATCAGTTTCTTTTTTTTTACAACACTAGGCCACACCAGTGACCTAATGTTTCATTAAAAAAAATGACACTGAACATTACTTCTTCCCTATTGCGCAGTCTGAGGCTCACGTACTTGTTTCACGTGCTAGTTCTTCGCATCCGAGATGTTAGAGTGGTAATGTAGTTTTGAGTTAACAGTTGCGGTGCATCCCTGAACCTGTTATCTAGAATATGCAGTACACTTTACCTGCCAAGAATGTGTGGCTACTGTGCGGTCAAGCTATTTTATACTGCTGGTGTTCTAACATTATAACATTGCCAAACAGCCACATCAACTGTTTTAACTGATACAGGCACTGCGTCACACACTAACCTTGAAGAAAGCCAAGTTTAAAGGACAATAAAACAAGAAGACAATGATTTTTTGGTAGTTAGTATGGTGCCCTAAAGTAGCAGGTGAATACTTGAACAGGCCTTAAATGTAGGTTACTCTTGATTAAAAACAGGCCAAAATAAACCAGCCATAACATCTGAGGGGTGCTTAGAAAAATTTTGGGCCTGTGACCACCCCAGTCTATCACTCAGATGCCGCAAATTCTGTTGCCAATTTGGCACAAACGTGCCAGAAGACCACCGTACAGTTGTATTTTGTTTTATGATTATTCAAAAATGCGAAGACATTGTTCATTTCATTAAGCAGTTTTTACTGTTTGCACAATATCTGCAAGTTGACTCTGGACTACAATCAATTCAACTAGTGGTCTGGTACTTCATGCAATACTGCGTTGCCAGCAGGATGAAAAAGTCAATGCACAACATGGGAGTATTGAAAGCGGCGACAATAGGACAGTGTGAAAATGTATTGTCTGGCTAACACTGCATCTGATGTAGTCGGGCATTCATAATTGAAGCCCTCTCACTCTGCCCACAGATGGCCCGTCACACCGCACGCTCCACAATGAACTGAAATGAGCCAACTGGCTTTCGGGTATGCTGAATGCGCAAGTTGCAGCGCAACATGATACAGTGGTGCTAATCTTATCACCACTCACTTAGCATGAAACACCGCAGGGGTAAAAATACAGTGGTGGTTCATCTACAAGTAATAACTCATTTGTCTGGTTCCATGTGATTACATGCAGGGCTTTGTTCAAGATTGCGTGATATGATTTAGCCCAGGCGCGAGAAGTACAATAAAATTTATCTTTATTCTGTCGTACAGACAGATGGATTGATTAACTTGTAGGGTTTAACGTCCCAAAACCACCATGTGATTATGAGAGACGCCGTAGTGGAGGGCTCCGGAAATTTATACCACCTGGGGTTCGTTAACATGCACCCAAGTCTGAGAACACCGGTCTACAACATTTCCGCTTTCATCGAAAATGCAGCCGCTGCAGCCAGGATTCGATCCCGGGACCTGGAGGTCAGCAGCCGGGTACCTTAGCCACTGAACCACCGCGGCGGGGCTACAGATAGAAGGACTGCGAAAAACACTCTTAGATCAGCTAGACTATTTCAGACCCATGACATTTATGAATTAAGATAATATTAACCGCTAGGGTTTTAGGTCTCAAACTGAAATATGATTTCACTGGACACCATGATTGAGGGCTCTGGAAATTTTGACTAAAAATCTCTAACATGCACATATATCCACATACAGTAAAACCCAGTTAATTCAGACTTCCCGGGACCAGAGAGAATGTTTGAATTAACCGAGGGTACGAATTATCGTGAGTACAAACAGAACGCTTGAAAAATGTCTCCTATACCATCAGAGTTTTATTTCTTAAGTTTGTGATCGCGGTTTGCTTCACGGACGCAATGTGTGACAAAGTCACAATTTTGCAAAGTTCCTGCAGGTGGCTTAGTCCGTGCACATTATCCGAGGAAAGCATGCATATGTCCTCCAAAGCGGCACACACATGCGCAGCCTGCGTCATTGTGTGGCGTAGACGCTCGTCAGCATCACTTACGCCCTCGTCAGCCGATTCCACTTCGCCGTCTAAGACTTCGGCAACGATATCGCTGTCGGTCACTGTGCCGGCCACGGCAACATCGGCAAGTAATAGCCAAAGTGCACATCAGCTGGCATGGTGCTCACATAGCAGTCATCTTGCTCTTCGCCGGTTTCCTCATCGACCACCACACCCGGATCAGCAGCATCATGCAAGAAGCTGCTATGCCTAAAGCAGTTTGCGACTACTGCAGGCGGTGTGTTGTTACACATGTATGTCAGCATGTGGATTGCGCTTAGCACGCTCACTTTGTACTGCTTGCCTGACTCCATGCAGAGCAATATCCGCTCGAGTACCTGCCGTCGATAGCGGCTTTTCACGAACTGTATGATTCCCTGGTCCATCGGCTGCAGAGAAGCCGTTGTGTCATAGCAGTTCGATGTTCTTGAACTCAGACACCTTCGTGTGCGCACTACAGTTGCCTAGCACGAACAACACCTTCCAAGCCTTGGCCGCAAAGCGGCGGTTCAGCTGACGCAGCCAGGCTTGAAAGAGTTCGGCAGTCTACCAAGCCTTTCTGTTGAACCGGTAGCCGACAGGCAGCTTAATATTCTTAAAACATCATGGCTTCGCAACCTTCCCGATCACCAGCAGCGGCAGCCGCTCTGTGCCGGTCATGTTAGCAGCCAGAAAAACTGTCATGCGTTCTTTACTTTGTTTTCCACCGACGCACGGGTCCCCCTTAAATGTGACTGTCTTGTCAGGCAGAGCCTTACAGAACAGCACTGTCACATCAGCATTGAAAATGTTGCATGGCTCGTAAGTATAAAGGCGCGCGGATAGTGTAGACCGCTAGTCCCACACAACACTTTCGTCAACCGCACCTCTTTCACCACACACGTTGCGGAACACCAGCCCGTGTCACTTCTTGAAGCGGTGAAACCAGCCTTCCGACGCACTGAAGGAGTCAATGTTCATGGTCATCACGAACTTCTCTGCTTGTGCGCAGATAAGGGGGCCGCTCAAGGACGATTGCGCGAAACGGCGATCCAGCGCAATAGCGCTTCTTCTAGCTTGGGATGCACTGCTGTTCGAAGTCTCTTCCTTTGATCGCCAAACATGTCCCCGTCATACGCTTGCATAATCTGCTCTTCGTTCTTCACGTAAGTGCTCAGCGTGCTTTTCTTCACATTAAACTTTTCCATCACTTCTTTTCGAGATGCTCCCGCTTGCAACGCCTTCAATATTTTCAACTTTGCAGCCGAATCCTTTGCTTCGTACTTCACCCTCTTCCCTGCGGGGGTCGGGGCGGTTGGAGCCCAAGGAGATGGAGGGGAAGCCATTCCGGCGTCGCAAGCGCGGTGGTCAAGCACGCGCTCGAAATAGACAACACAAACACACACACACAAAAAAAAAACAGCACGGTGATAAAAACGAAATAAAAACCAGCAAACTTTTCAAAAAACAGCAAACAGTAAGACTGCAAATGGCACTGATCACGTACAGATAAATAATTTAAAGCACACTAGAGGTGAGCAATCCAACTCAACCGTCACGCAAACGTGTTCGATGCGCAAAAAAAAGGAAAGGCAAATTTGTGGGCTGCTCATTGCTGATGACAGTAGCGATGTACTGCCTTCCATTTTGGTTGTTTAAACTACCGCTCGTGCGTGTTTGTGTGTGTGTGTGCGTGCGTGCATGCATGCGTGTGTGTGTCTGTGTGTGTGTGTTTGGGTGCCTCTGAGATGTACTACCCATGGACAAAGTTTTTAATCTCAGAGGCCGCAATCCGATCCCAAAGTTGTTTAGGTGCGCCGTCGATTTGGCCGACAGAATCCGCTGCTGCTTCCCCGTCGTGACTCGACCGCGGTTGGGCGCCTGAATTAACCGAAGCGCAGCCAAATTTGTCCGAACTAATGAGAGTTTTCAGTCATAGAACAATGTACATTTTGGACAGGACCAGATGCCATGGCCAAATGAACCAGAATTCTGAATTAATGGGGGTCTAATTAACAAGAATACTACTGGCCCATGCCAGTAGTATTCTGCCACCATTGAAATGCAGCTGGGGATGCTGGAATTCGATGCTGCGATTTTCGTGTTAGCTCTTGACCACTCGTATTTCTAAATAGGGCAGTATGTGATGCCAGGAAATACTTGGTGCAGTTATTAAAGTTTTTATGACACAAAACGCTGCTCTGTATAACAGTGCACTAGCTCATCAGCCTGTTCTGCTGAGATAGACTGATGACTGTGCCATGTTGCTATTGATCCATGCTCAAGAATAAAATAGCAGGAAAATAGATTAGACAAACGCTTCAGCATTTGTGATGCCTATTTTCCACACTCATATGTTTTCCATGACACTTTGTTTTTGAGCATGCACTGCACAATCAGTAGTGAGTGAGTTTGAATGAAATTAAAGCAGTGCATCCTCCCCACTACAGTATGCATTGATAACACTGCGAGTAATTAAAGCAGCCCTTGTTGCACTTTCACACAGTTAGCTGGCCTATGGAATCGGGTGTGCCGTGCAATGCCAAGCGACTTGTTTGTTGTCACAGCACATAAAATATTAAGAACAACACGTGAAATGCTATTAAACTAGCAAACAGCCACGACGCCACCACTTTCTTAAATGCCCAAATAACACATGCGAAGGTCTGAACATCATCTTTGTATTTATGACACAAATAGCATTACAATCAATGTACAAGCATACTCTACAACACTTGTTGTATGTAAAAGCAAGTATCCTAGAGATCCGATCAGTGGGGGTGCTTGGCTAAGGAGGAGCCTGATCGAGGCAATGGTTCCCCACGGCTCTGGTGATGATGCAGCAGCTCCTGAATTGTCTGCACAATCAGATCAATGGCCACTGCAATAGGGGTAAAAAAGAGCCCAGAGTGAGTAAAATGTCGCTAAGCAGGTGGTGTTTATATAATCAGGGCAAGTTCTTCGTACATTCATGGTTTCATACAAGCCATACTCATGAATGTGCACAGCTGTGCTTGGGCTGTTTGAAGTTCCTGTTTTTGTGCATTGTTGAAAAGTGGAAGCATACTGCAAGTCGTTTTCTTTCTTTTTGGTCTCGATGACGCCTGATGTCTACTGTTTGAGCAGTTTGAGGGCAACTAGCTCTTAAAAAAAAGTTCTGAGAGATCAAACACATTGCTCTCCTTGTCAACATAGGAGCATGCAGTAGTTGAGGTCTCTAAGAGCAGAAAATTGTTTAGATTCTTAGAGAGCAGGGCTCAAAGAGAATTTGTGGGTGACGACGACTTCTCACTAGACGAGCATTCTGAATTCGAAAGCACCAGCAGTAACAGAGACAATGAAAATGATGCTGCTCACTCAACTTGCACGCTACGCATCCTCATGCTTTAAAGTTTTTCACACTTGCATAGTCACTTGGTGTGAATTTAATGTAGAACGGCGTTAGGATAAAAATAAAAGCAAAGTTTGACAATGCCTGTAACACAACCTACTTTGAATTTTAGTGAGCATCGCATGCCACCAACGAACTCAATGAACACAGCACTAAATACAGGAAGGGAAATAATGAGGAACAAGTGGGAGAGAATGGGATAAAGTTGTGCACTGCAGTGGAAGCCCATCAGGTTTATAAAAATACTTCTTGAAGCACCCTTCCTAAGAAATCTAATTGCATTTCTTTCGCAGCATTACTTACAGTCGAGGTGGATGACATTCTTTTTTATTCATGAACCTTCTTTCATCTTGCAAAATTCTGCTACAAGATTTACTTTATTCAGTGTCCCTGCGCTTTCTAATACATCTTCGGGCTGCTATCTCCTAGTTTTTGTTAATGCAGATAGCACAGTCCCCTTGGCCTGCAGAAAGATATAATAGGTCGAGTTCCCAGATCCCAGGTCAAGATGAATTCTTCAACAGCAGAGCCATCTCTCCAAGAAACCCACTTGCGCTACCTCTCTTGCTTTACGTTGCAAACGAGTAGATAACAATTCTTACTTTTCATGAACCGTCCACCCAAAGTGGATTTGCCAACTCACACGATGTTTTCATGGCACAATGAAAGCACACGACTGCTGCATGGCGCCCACTGATAACATGTCTCAGAGGCCATGCTAGCAGTGGATATCTATCAAAACAGTCATGAAATAAGGTACGTGCTGCACTGAAACATCCTCCCGTTGGGCTGGTTTCACCAAAGGGTGATGTGCGCTTGAGCACGGTAACTGTGCTGCTAGCAGGCATAAATAAAACCCAGTGCCACATCGTTTTCTTAATGTTGAGAAGAGATACACCTATTTTTTAAAAGAGTGGCATAGAAGTAAAATAACATCCGCCATGTACATTGCTGTAAACAGCGGCTCAACAATGAAGGGCTTTGTTTTTCTGTTATAAAATGGCCGATTGGCAGAGCACTGCATGACGTGCTGGACCTTTTGACCTGGCAAGACGACCAGCTTGTCTAAACTCTGCAATAAGCCACTCTTTTTTATCATCACATGACTGGACAAACTTTACCTTTTGCTTTCCATATGCCATTTCCATTTCCAGATATTTTAAACAGGTGTCCATTCACTGCTGTTCACAACTACGTCAACCAATTGAAAAGGAGCCCATCAACAGTTTTAAATCGGACAAGCACTGCACTGGCAGCTCCAGTACACATGCTGCCATGGTAAGGTTCACATACACAGTGAATTTTGTCAGACCTGGCTAGGATATTAGTACTTGGGTTTTCCCCACTACTGTTTTCTGAGGTGGCCTTTGTACGCAAGGAGGGTGAAGACAAGTTAAGACACGATTGTATACTTTCAAGCAATGCCGAAATGGCAGCTTTTGAGACAGTGAGAAAAGGCTATCAACAAAGCTCGAATTATCAAGAATTCAATGTGTTCTATTAAATGTTTTTACACTGAACAACTTAACGACAAAAATAACTGAAGCCAACAAGAACTGCATGGGCATTGCATCTCGACCAGATTTGAATTCACACTTCACTATATAGAATCATCAGCATTTACTGGATCTGCACAGAACAATCCACTTTTAATGATGTCAATCACACAAGCTACTAATTATACCATTACAACCAGCTATTGTCGTACCAGGACCAGCAATAAGAAATAAGAACATGGCCATATGTTTCCCTGTGCATGTAGGCCTAGTTACTCTTCAACTTATAAGTGAACAGCATCAAACAATGCAAGTCGTGGTAAGGCCTATTTGACACTTCATTACCAACTACATAAATACACGCTCACGTGAAATGGACCCACGAAATATGCTCCATTCACTGAGAGGTGGACAGACAGGGGTGCGGAATTCAAATATAAAACCAATCGTGTTAGAGGCAGTTGTTCCACTTGAAAATCAGTTCTTTTCAAAAGATTTCCCTTTACTGAGAGCCTACTGTAGGTTTATTGACGCATGCTGAAAAGATTAGGAAATTCACAAAAGCGGAATAAATAAGACCTCTCAAGACTTGAGGATTACTGAAGCCACTGAGGAGTGTTGAAACCGTGGACTGTGAAGCTTATATTTTTCTTGAGACTTACAACCTAGTAACTTGGGAAAATTCCCAATGAACTCACTGTTTCAGCTGAACAAACACTGCATTGTACTTGGCCCCATATTTTGGAAATGTGCAAGTGGCCAGAAACACGTGTCAGAAACAGTCTCCAAGTGTTGCTTGGCTAGCAAGGCAGCCACCAGACGAGCTCTTTCCGTTCTCTGAACAGCAATTCTGACGAAGGCAGCACGACAGTGCTAAACACACGTCCCCCTCACAAATGTCTCTATGGCAGTAGAACAAGTTCTTATACTTTAAAGCAATGCGATCGAGACAAGAATTCGGACACAATAAACATTTAAGCTTTCTATGTGTCCACCTTTTTGTGCAGTCATTTGCCCTGCTTCGAATGATATACAGTTAAACCTGCTTACAACAAACTTTCATAAAACGGATTCCTCTATATAACAAAGTTTCTCTTCCCCCCCCCCCCCCATTGCTTCCTAGAAGTACATGTATTTGCGACCTCTATGTAACAAAGTAACAGCGGGAGACAACCTTGATATAACGAAGTTTCCCCACAGACAATCTAAGAATTTCGACCCGTATTTTGGCATTTTGGTACGAACATGCATCTCCCGTGGCTCCCCTGCCGCCGACGAAGCGGCGGCGGGGCAGGTGGGCCTGCACTCGTGCGCGCGGGTGAGCAGGCGGGCCTGCACCCCACGAGCCAACGTTGCCGCTGTTCTCGCCGCCGCGGGCTCATGGGCAGGCGTGCCCCTCCCCCCTCTAAACCAAAATAAAAAAAAAACAGAAAAATACTTTTGCGCCTTGACAGCGCCCCACCTTTAGTTAGCATCACATAGCTTTGCCAAATAGTTTTCCACGGTATCCGTGTCTGTGTCCGTGTCATTCGCTCTTCGTTTTCGACGCCGTGCGCGTGTGCATAGTTTCACTGCGCGTGCATGGCGTGGACACTGACGACTTTCAGCTTTGCTTTTTTTTTATTGTGATGGCAATTATATGGACAGTCTCAGCTGGTTTTTGTCGTCGACACCACCGCCGTCATTCATCATATGATGTATCTATATATATAAAAACTAATGAAAGAAAAAGAGTTGCCCACGCTTAGCACCCAGCTCGTCACGATGTACTCATGCACGCTTATCCCCCACACGTACTTTGCCCTGGGAATGAGGGGAACGAGTTAGATGCATGTGCACGCGTGCTTATCTTTGGGTGGGGAGAATCGTGCACCTTCGACTTTGATCAGAACAATTGCGTTTAGTTGCCGGGCGCACAAATATCGCTTCGCTCGCTGGACGAGTGCCGTCTGCGAAAAGAGTGTGCTTTTCAAACACAGCAAAGTAACAACTGCGGCACTTGTGAGCTTGCACTCATATCTGTACCTGTGAGTACGTTTCGTGCCTCGTTTTCGTTTAAACACTGTGTTATGTGTCGAGCCGTAAGCAGTGTTAATTTGCTCTCGTCCTGTGTATGTTGTTTTCGTGCGTCATTTGTGTGTGAGAAGCGTGCAGTATGCTTTGATCTGCTTGCCGTTCTCAGCGTTATATTCTAAGTTGTTGCTTGGAATCGCTTCGCCCTTGCGGTGGAATTGTGACTTTTCTTAATTTGAGACAACCGTGTCATCAGCACCAACGGGTTGTTAGACTAGGCGCTGATAGAAACTCTCTGAGACCACGGTGACAACGGATGTTTGGAGGTCGACTCGTCACGCGCTTTCGTCTTGGGCTGCAAGTTCGCAGGCTGGTAGCTTTCACGATTAGTCGATTAGTTCTGTCAACACGAAAGCACGTTAAATACAATGCAATGAACGCGATAGCAAAAAATTGTAATGTTATAAGCAGTAAAGGCTGGCAGCCAAGTTTTTTGGATCCCATATCGCAGAACTCAAAAAAAAAAATGGTGTGAGCAAATACGGCCGCTCTAGGGAGAAGTGCTCTTGTCACACAGTCCCTTCACGTTGAAACCACACTGATACTCCCAGAGATAGCAAGTGCGCCAGGGATCGCAACAGCCCTTAAAATCAAAGCTCATTATTGCCACTCCAATGATACCCCCCCCCCCCCCCCCCCCTTCACGTAATGTTTCATGCTCATTCAAGCTTTCTGTTGGAACATTTGATGCCAGTTGTAACACTCTGGAAATGTTATCTTATGCCTTTTCTAGGCTATAGCGATGGGCCGACTTATTTGATCTCTGCTGCAGCTGCACTCTCGCGCTTTTACCCGCTTGTGAAAGTTACAAAGGGCGGGGGCTTATCAATTTGGACTTGTTACGGAACATGGCGGCAAAGACAAAGACACGCCGAGAGTGTCCACATAATTACTATCGCAATAATGCAGTTTTTTTAATGT